CAATATTACTTGACAATTCTTCCCTAATTGATCTATAGTTTCAACGCAAGCTAAATTAAAATCCCAGCAGGATTCTTTTTTGTAGATATTGACAAGTTGATTCTAAAATGTATAAGGAAAGGCACAAGAATCAGACTAGCCAAAATCGTTTTTCAAAAAGAGGAAAAAAGTTAGCGGTCTCACACTACCTGATTTCAAGATATACTATAAAATAATCAAGACCATGCGGTATTAGTGTTAAGACAAACAGATCAATAAAACAGACTAGAATGTTCAGACATAGACTCACACATTTATGGTTGATATTTGAAAAAGGCACAAAGGCAATTCAATGGGAAAAGTATAGCCTTTTCAACAAATTGTACTGGAATAAGTAGACACTCATACACAAACAAACAAAAACCCAACCTATACCTCAAAATGTACTCGATTACACAAAAATATACTCAAAATGGGTCATCGACCTAAGTGTAAAATATAAAAATAGAAAACTGTAGGGCAGTGTGTTACCTAACAGCTTGGTTGGGGGAGTCATCTGAGGACACAGATATGAACCAATTCTGTCATGTTCGGCCTCTCTTCTCACCCATGCCCTCAGAGATCCTTGAGCCTTAAATGCCTGGTGATCTGGATCTGTATTTATGCTATGCCAAGGATTATGGGGAAGGAGCAGAGATAAGTGGCTGTGTTCAACCCACCACATTGACCAGATTCACTGGTCTCATTCCAAACATACAGATGTTCTGAACTCTTTCCAGAACTTTCAGTGTGAAGGCAGAATAGTTTTCTTCCTCCAATTCTACTTCACCTTTTCTTCCCTCATTCTCCTTACATAGATCTGCAGAATAAAGAAAGCCACATAGCCATTTAAAAAAATATATTTTTTAATAAATTTTTTAAAAGTACATGGGATCCAGATAATTGAGAATCCAATACAAGAAAGATTAAGGGAACGCCCGGTATGATGCGAAGGGAGATCTCAAACTGACAGCTTTGCAAAGGACCTGAAAAGTGGCCAGCCCAGATTGGAGCTATGGGAAAGATCTCATCAGGAAATGGAAACTGAAAGAATACCAAAGGTATCTGAGCTGACTCAAAGAAATTCACACAACCAGGCAAGAATTTAGAGGCCGATTAGTCATAAGTGCATAGAAAACTACATAAACAGCAAAACAAGACAATTATTATCTCCAAGAGCAACAAAAGATTATGTAGGAATGACGAAATATTACAGGACTCAGCTGTGAAGAGCATTTACAAATTCATAATGTAAAGATGGAACATTGATCCAAACAAAACTATATATGTCTACAGCAGAAAGACAAGGGGGACTGGAGGTATGTAGATGGGATGGGGGTGAAGAATGGTGTTGGAAGAGAGCTCAGACTTTATCTTTCAGAGCATAGGCCAAAATTAATGCGGAAAACTAAACAATGAGTAGGTAGCAATATAAGCAGGTTAGAGATACAGAGGGGAAAAGCAAAAGATTTACTTCAAAGATTTAAAAGTAATGGCCTTAGGGCAACAGAAAATGGGGGAGAGCCTTCAAAAAACAACGATCCTGCTAGAAATGTTTGACTCTTTAAAAACATGAATAGCTTTGATAAAAATAAAAATTAAATAAATAAATCAAAGTTTAAGAGGGAAAAAACCCAGGGGGGGCCCAGAATAGTACAGGATCCAGAATCATGACATTTAGAAATGGTTATATAAACTAAGGGTTTTTAAGTTTAAAACACACACACGCAATTTGGCACACATTACAGGGGTGATTTCAGCTGTCTGGTTATTCTGTCTAGCAAGTGCGTGCAGAATCAGAACCCACAATAAAGTGACATGGACACAAAGCCCAGCTGTGCAAAAAAAGAAGAAATTTCTAGTAAGTGCCTGAAAGTAGAATTAACTGTCTCAGGAAGCAGTGAGTTCTCTGCTGATGGAGGCATTTGAGCAGTCCAAACAAAATCCACTTAGTGGACTTGACACTTCGGTGGGCTGGACCTTAGACCCGTTAAGTCCCTGCCAGTTGTGGGCTTTTGTAAAAGAATTCCACGTAATAATCCCCTGTGAATCAGCACCATCCTACAGTAAGACTAGAAGCACTGGTAGGTGAAGAAGCTTAGGACTTAGGACGTGTGCTTCTTTTCTTCTACCCCCCCCCCCCCGCCACCTCCTTTGAGCTTTTGATTTTTCCTTTCAAAAGTCTTAAATATATTTACATTTGATTACAAATCACCTAAAATATTTTTAGAAGCAGATGAAGTGTAACTACTTAAAGAGTAGAAGAGAAAATCCATGTGTGAGTGGGAGAAAGCTGGAAGAGAAACAAGAACGACTGACGTAGTGGTAAAGAGACGAACTGAAGAATCCACTCCGGGCCCGTGGTTCACTGGCCGTGGGACATTAAACGGGTCGTACTACCCAGTTAGGTATGAGACTCTGGGACCAGGACGAGAGCACTGGGGCCTCCTGGCAGGGTGAAAGGGCAGAGATCGTGACTCAGTCAATAGATACAGATGAGCAGCAAGAGAGTTATCAGAAATTAGTGAACAAGAAAAGAACACTTCTGTTCGACTTTAAATAAAGTTCTAGAACCTTGCACTATCAAAGAACAAAAATCACATCTTACCTTAACTGTTGGTCATTTCAACATGGAAATAAAAATATTAAACATATTACAGGTACCATCTTTTCTATGGGACCGCCTCAAGAGCTGAGTGACTTGTCTCTAGGCTTCAGGAAAGCTTTATTTTCTACTCAAGGACAGTATTTTTTCTTTCACGCTGTGTAATAAAATACTGTCATGCCTACAGATACAATAAATTTATCCCAAAGTTTACTGAGCTCCATCCTCCCTAGTTAAGAATAGACATGGATCATACTTCAAAAATCATGTCCGTGTTCCCTTAGGGCACTTCTGTATTTCTAGCTCTTCGTTTTAAAAATTAGTTTAGAATCTACCAAGAAATTATCAGCGCTTGACACACTGTAAACCAGTGTAACTTCCCGCTATTTAAGAAACAGAGATTCAGGTGTGGTGCTCTGATGCTCTGTGGAAGCCCCTACACCTCTCTGTTCCGTCTCCCTTAACAGACTGTCTTCTTCTAGAGGGAAGCTCTCATTCTTGGCTGAATCCAGGCCTTAGCAGCCTGAGGAGCACACCAGTCAGTAAATGCTGAACCAAACCATACCATGGGATCGGCCTGGAATTTTCTCTTTATTCTACCGACATTTTTTATTCTTTTGCTTTTTTCTTTTCAGTGCCTCCCCACTGCCCTTGGAGCATCCTCTCTCCTGCGCCCCAGTCACAGGCAGGGGTCGCTTCTGCAGCACTGCTCTCCACCCTTCCGGTCACAATTTGAACAAAATAAGTAGGATCTGCAGCTCTACGCACTGGGCTCCTGGGCAAGCACTGAGAGGACTGGCCAGAAGAGCTTCCACCATGCGTCCTGCACTGCGAGCTAGAAAAGAAAAGGCGGGGGGCGGCGGGGGGGGGGGGGGGGTGCGGGGCAGAAGGGGAAGGAACCCTCCATTCTTATAAATCCATCAACCAGTCCTGATTAGCTAGCACCGGCTTAGATGCTGATGAGGCCCAGAGGTCTCTAACTTACGACGAACTCTTTTTTTCTTCTGACTGGCTGCTATTAATGTCTTCACCAAGACTTCATTATAATGTAGGAAAACATGCTAACAAAGTCAGGTTCGAAATCACCGAATTAACGTAAAACATTTCAAAATAGTAGCTTATTTTAATTTTCAGGTTCATTCCCATTTCCCTCCACTGACAGGTTCTATTTGTTTTAGTAGTAATTTTGACAAGTATCATTAGCATCATAAACCAAAGTTTTAGTCTCTGAATACCCCGTCCCCCCACCACACTTATTCAATAAACACTTATTGAGGATGTATTATTTGCTTAGCCCCTATAAATCATCTCTGTCCTCAATTCTTTCTCTAACAAAAGATAGTGGGCATTCCATGAGGACGTCCCGTCTCCAGACGGCCATGTGGAGTGGGAAGCGATAAGTGTAACCACCGTTGAGTCTGCGGAGCAGAGCCGGAAGGAAGGAGGAGAAAACTCCCAAGTGCAGACGGTTGGTTCCCTCTCACTGTTGGCCCAGCTGGCCGGACAGCAGTTCCAATTCTAAAGTTTCAAATGTGAAGGATCCTTCTGTAAGCCACTTACCCTTCCCTAACTTAGTGGAGACCTCAAACCACAAACCTGAGAAACACACACTTTTAAGTTATCATACTATACTCGAGTGACCTGAAATTTAGTTACATTATTTTGCCATTATTTTGAAGTTTGTGATGTGCTCAAACTCAGTTTCAGATCTGCCGAGCGCTTCCTAAGAGCTATCTGATCCAACAGTATTCTTGTTGCTCCGCACGCACTTCCGTCCTCACTTAGGAGCAGGGAACTGAGAAGGAATATTTCAAGCACTGTTTCCCAAAATGTGTTCTGCAGGAAAACAGTTCCTCAAGATGGAATGAAAAAAAAATTTTTTTTTTAAGGATAAATAAATTCAATGAAGGCCAGTTAAGCAAAATTAAATTGGTTTCCTGGGGGCAGGGATGGGCAGTGTGGGGCAATGAGCCTTTAATATGCTAATATGCACTAAGACTCTAAAATGGGGGGGCGGGGTGGAGAGGCGGTATGGAATGAGCAAGAACTTCCCAAGGTTTTCTGACCTCAGAACTCTTTCCTGGGGGGACCACCTTGCAGCCCTGGTGTCTTGGGAGCTCATATTGGGGAAACCCTTAAGGTACTGTTACATAAGTCACATTTTTATCCTTAATGTGAGGGCATGTGGACCACCGACAAGGAGCACAGAGCCTGGTAAGCAGCAGGTCACAGGGCAATGTCCCTTCCCACCCAGGCAGCTCCCTGCTCTGTCTGCCTGTCACCACCTCAAGAGAAACATGTTTCCACTCAGTCTTGGCTTGCTTTCTCACATTAAACTGGAAACTTTTTTAAAATTATCCCCAAAATTAGAATTGCATTCAATTTTAAAATGAAGTTTCTTTATTAAAGTACTATTTCCAAACTTTCATAACTGAATCTGCTTCAACCACAAGTGTCTATTCCAAATCGTTCTCTTGATGTAAAAGTATGGCTGGTTTCAAAACATATTTTATATGCTAGACTTTAAAACTTGATGTCTTTAGAGTTGTCTTCCAACACTTGATTTTTCAGAATTGTCCTGAAAATACAAAATCACATGTAAAATAGATTTGAAAAAACTTCAGGGCTTAGCAAGCAAGGGACAAAACTCTGTTAAATAGGCTGAGTTTTTGAAGTGCAATTTAGTAAAAAAAAAGAAAAAAAAATTCCAGCTTTTGCGCCGGTGGTGAAAATCTCTGCCTTTGTAATTGGATCCTAACGTGCATGCTAATCATTTACGCTACAGAGTCAACTTCACTGTGGCCATTTTCTTCACCCTTTCCCTTCTTAGTGCTCTCCAGAGCCTTGTTGGTACTCAATACTAAATAATGTCAGCATCAATTACATGAACCCTTTCAGAAGCCATGGATCTCCAAAGACTAAATATACATTTCTTATTTAAAACTGTATTCCCGAGAATCTGAGTTATGAGGAAAGGACACAACTGTAGTCATATTTAGTAAACTTACTGATGTGATAGACTTGTTCAGACTTAAGTTTTTAGGAGAAAGTGTAGCAGGGCCCAAGAGGAGATGCACAGCAGTCAAGGGTCCCTAGAATCCGAGGTTTATAACCACCAGGTACGCAGACCACAGACTGCTCCAAATTGTCACACTCTGACCTCTAGTGTGGGGTGCACTGATTTAAAACCAACACCCCCCCACACACACAACACTTTAAAGGGAGAGTAAACAGTACACACAGTCTCTGGAACTAAGTGACAGAAAATGATATCCGAGATACATTTAAGATACCACCATTTAAATGTAGCAGCTCTCAGTGCAGCAGAGGGATGAGGGGAGCGAACACAGTGCAGCAGGAAACGCACCAGCTCTGAACCACTCCGAGCTTTACACTCGTGGGGGGCACCTCGGGCAAGCTGCCTAAGCTTTGTGAGCCTCAGTTTCCTAATCTGTAAAATGGGGCTGACGCTGGTACCCATCTCAGAGTTGTGAGAATAAAATGAAATTTATTACATGAGAGCAGACAATTGGGGAAGGAGGGCAGGGAAACCCCCAGTTAGTGACTGTTCATCTCTAGTCCCTGTGCTCGTTTCCTACTTGTCTGCTCTCATATTTATGCTCTTTCCTCCCCCTCAGAGCCTACTCACCCTTAAAGCATCTCCTCCATGTGCATATGACTTAAAGCATCTTCTGAAATCCACTTCTGGGTCTTCCACTGCTCATGGGAAATTGCTACACGGGAGTATTAATATCAATATCACCTCAACTCAGTCTACGCAAAATTAAATTCATCTTCCTCTCCCCACAACTAGTCTCCGTCTCAACTCCCATGTCTAACAGAATAAATTCAATTGAATTTTATATGAAGAAAAGAAACTTTTACACCAGAAATATGATGTTTAAAATTAAACTCTTTTGTTATTTTAAATAATGCCACATGGAAAGATTCTTGCATATAGCATTTACTATACTTTTGGATTACTAAATAAGGAGTGTTAACTTTTTTTACCGGCTTTCAATGTACGTCATCAGTGTCCCAAAAGAGTCATTCCAACTTATCCAGCAAATCAATAAAGTATACTTGAGTCAAAACCACATGAGCAATTAATATCACTCTGCTAGGTTTTACCAAAGTTACAGGTGTAAAAGGGAGTCTTTGTGCTTTGAGTTAATTTGCTTATTAGCAAGACTGAACATATTTACATATTAGCGTACTATTTCCCCTTCTATAAATTAGCTCTTTGCTGCAGAGATGCATTTTTTACACTGTGCGAGCTCTTAGCGTCATAAAGATATTCTAAACAATGACGTGACTCTTCAGTTTTATTACTGCTTATGCAAAAAAAAAAACCAAAAAAAACAGGAAAAAAAAAGAAGTTAAACATGAAAAAAAAAGAAAGGCACTCTCTTTTTCCTTCTCTATCCGAGTATATTCCACTTCGTATTATGGCTCCTTTAGTGCATCAGGGAAGGACGGGAGGAGAAGGAAGAAGAAAATTTTAAGGAAAAAGAAAAAAAAATGAGTACCAATCAGACAGATAAACACATACAGAAGTGAGAAGTAAGAATAGGTAGAAAAGGAAATTGAGAAGTAAAGGGGAGGTTATACTAACCCTCAAGGTTCTCTTGGGGACCACTGACTGTAGGAATACTAATTAGCTACTTAGCCATTATTTCAACCTTAAATGCTCTTCTTTCTCCTGAAGCTATCTTGGCCTCAGAATGGGAAAGAGGCCGTGGGGGTGGGGAAAAGAGAAAGACAGGAGCTCAGCGGTGGCCAGAGCAGAATCCTTGCGGGAATAGGAAAATAATTGTGTGACTTTCAACCAGGAACTGTGAAAAGTTTTATAATGGAGATAGAAGCAAAATGTTAGGAAACACTATAAAAGTGTGATTTTATAGGCAGAAGAAAGTGGCAAAACTATGTAGCAGATACTATTGGCTGCCTACCCAGTCACCATGCCACCCTCTGCATTGCTGGCAGACTCTAATTTTGTTCTGGTTTTGCTCTGTCCTCCACTTGACTCAGGGAAATCCTGGTTAGTCTAAGCCAATTACCTGGTCTTTTGCCTCCCCCTTGCTAGAGGCTGTTTAGGGCTGAGCATGCAGCCCTCCCTAACTCCTACTAAAGGAAAACCACTAGAGATTGTCAGCTCAGCAAAAGGAGGTGGGAGAGCCACATCCGTCTTGGGATCAAGAGGGAAGCTAAGTGAGGAAAAGCTACCTCCCTTAAAATGACAGAGAGAGAACTCAGGCCCTTGTTGACATCATCAAGCCACTGAACTAGCCAACCAGGAAGCCACCCTACCTCTCACTTACCAGAGATAATCTTTCCTTAATGCTTGAGCTATTTAGATTTAAGGTTTTTTTTTTTATTTCTTACAGCTGAATCATCCTAAATTGTCCATAACGAAAAATCTTACACGATCATTGTTATCATCACATTATCACAACGCTACAAAAAGAAAAAGGAGCAAACTTTAATACCTTCACTGCTACTTGAACATTTTAAGTAACCACCAATTTTTCCATCTTTTTGCTGTTTTCCTTATTTTACATTATATAAACATATCAAGAAATCAACACTTATGTTTAACACTTTTCAGTATATCTGGCAACCTTAAAAATTAGAATTAAAATAGATTTTAAGAGTTTCCTTACTAAATAAATGTCTAAATATTTGGTTCTGGGATGTTGTAGAGAGCAGCTAAAAAGAGTAATATTACTATTTTCAAAAGAAATAAATTACAGCGGTTTATCAACCAAATGTTTTTTAAGTAAATCCTATTATACAAATGACATGAAATCAGAAAAGAATCCAACGGGGGGAAAAACTAACACTCTCCTGTTGAGTATATTAAAACATACTGAAAAATGCAAATCTTTTTCAAAAATTACCTTTTAGAAAAAGCACTAAGTTTGATACAATGCATAAATTCAAAATTGGTATTTTATGCTACGCTATATTCCAAATACATGAGAAAACAAAAAGCACTAAAACAGAAGAAATACTACTGTGCTGGAAACTTTAACCATTTTCACAGAGTGAATTCCCACAGCAGAAATAACAATGTCTCTTTAATGATTGAAATTTTCACCAGCTCAAACACTTTTTCTTTATAACACTACACATAAAGTCCCATCCATTTGTGCCTGCTATAGAAACATCAGCACTGTAAATCCAACTGGCCGTTACTGGAGCGGACCAGTCTTTTCCCATCCACCTTGACCCCGTAACTTACACCTCTATGAGTACGCGTGCTTCACACGGAGATGCACAGCGGCCAAGACAAGCTGCTTAAGACTGCTGCTGAAAACTCTGTTGAGACGCTCCTTCGACTGTATTTATCCTTTTTAACAATTTTTGTATTGAATTTTAAAACACGAGAATTGCTGAAGTAGGAGTTATCCACATCCATCCATAGAAGGAAAGAGAGTATTTGTTAATTTGTTCAAATATTTCACGAGCACCTACCAACACCAGGTACCAGCTAAGCAGAGAGACACTGATAACAGCAATGAACGAGCAGATGGTCCCTCTCTTTATCAGATCAGTCTGGACCGGGGGACAGTAAACATTTTCTGTAAAGGGCCACAGAGTACGTATTTACGCTTCTGGGCCACAACTAACTACTCACCTCTGCCATTGTAGTAAGAAAGCTACAGACGATATACAAACAAATGAGTGTGGTTGTGTCCCAATAAAACTTTATTTCAAATTTCATATAATTTTTATGAACTAAATTTCCCATGCAATAACGTTCTTCTTTTGATTTTTTCAACCACTGAAAAATACAGATACCATTTTCAGCAATCTTAGCTTGTAAGGGCCACAAAAACAGGGGGCCTGCAAGGCTGGGCCCATGGGCTGTAGTTTTGCCAATTCCTGATCTAGACATTAATATTAACTGTATAATTATTTGTTTATTGCTTTAAGTGCTCAAAAGGAAAATACATAAGGCTATGAGACTTTAATGAGGAGACAGGGCCTGGTTTGAAGAATCCAGGAAGCTTTTCCCAAAGAAGTGACTTGTAGGCTGAAACTTAAAGGATGAGTATGTAGTAGCCAGCCAAAATCCAGGGAGAAAAGCAGAAAGCCTTCCAGACTAGTGAACAGCGTGTGCAAAAAGCCCTAGAAGAAGAAGGAATACAATCTACTGAAGAATCTGAGGCTGAAGCACAAAGACTAAGGAGAAGCATGGCATGAGATGACAATGACACTAGAGAGAGACAAGAGACCAGCCCACAGAGTCTTGTTGGCTAGGGTCAGAGATTCCGGCCTTTGTCCTAAGAGCAAACGAAACCATTAAAGGGCTTCAAGTAGGAGAAGGGCACAATCAGTTTTGGATTTTTAAAAGATCATTAAGACCACAGTATGGAGAAAAATTAGAAGGGAATGTAAATGAATACAGGGAGATTTGTAAGCAAGGTTCTGGCCAAAGATGACAGAGGCCTAGACCAGGGTGCCTGCAGCGGAGTTCAGAAGGCAGAAGAGGCAAGATGTGGAGACTAGATGAGGAAAAATGAAAGGCAGTTTCTCTACCTGCCTCAGGTTTCCAGTTTCCACACTAAGACATTGGTACTATTCAGTGAATCAAAGATACTGAAAAAGACGTGTGTGTATGTGTATATATGTGTGTGTGTGTGTCTACAAATTTTGAGTTTGGTTTTTGACATGCTGAGTTTGAGTTGCCTATAAGACATTCTAGTGGAAGTGAGAAGTAGTCAGTCGGATACAAGGATGAGAGCCCAGAAAAGAGTTTGTTTCAATTCAGTAATTCCATTTGAGAATTGTCCGCATACAGATTGTAATTGAAACCATAGGAGGAGATGAAATTACCTAAAGGGTATGGAAACGTGGTTTCCAACCTTGGTGGCACATGAGAATCACCAGGGGAACTTTAAAAAATTTTGATGCCCAGGGGCCAGCGGAGTGGCATAGCGGTTAAGTGTGCACATTCCGCTTCCCCGGCCCGGGGTTCGCTGGTTCAGATCCCGGGTGCAGACACAGCACCGCCTGGCAAGCCATGCTGTGGTAGGCATCCCAAATATAAAAGTAGAGGAAGATGAGCAAAGATGTTAGCTAAGGGCCAGTCTTCCTCAGCAAAAAAAAGAGGAAGATTGGCAGCAGATGTTAGCTCAGGGCTAATCTTCCTAAAAAAAAAAAAAAAATGTGGATGCCCAGATAGTACCCCTGGACCAATGGGATCAGAATCTCTAGGAGTAGGACACTGGCACCAGTGTTTTTTAAAATACTCTAAGTGCTTCCAATGTGCAGCCAAGGTTGCGAAGATAAGACGACTTCAGACATTAAGACTTAACAGTACCACAGACAGATCAAGAGATTAAGAGACTAAGTAGGTTTCTAGTCCCAGCTACCTCATAATGTATCTCTCTGACCTCAGACTACTTCATATCTCTAAATTCTAGTTTAGCTCAACAGAAAAGAGAGATAGTAGGACTAGTTTATCTCTAATATCCCTAGAGTTCCAAAAACCTGAGCCAAAGTGACAAAATTCAAATATTTCTTTCTTTGGGAGGTGGGGGGATAGGAAAACAACTATTAACCAATTACCAGTAGTAGAATATAGAATGTATTTTTATAAATAACTATCCTCCCAAGCCAATAACATTTCTAAATGATAGGATTAATACATCAAATAGCATTTGATGGTATTTTCTAGGCCTGGGAACATTGTAACTGGACTATATGATACTACGTTGTTCTGCTGCTGGTGGAAGTCCAAAAATGGCGGCATGAATTTAACTTGGAAATTCCTTGATTCAAAATGTTTTCAGCGAGCCTTTTCTAAACATAAAGTGAGCTGCAATTTCAGATCTGGGAAGCATGCACGTGAACACAGAAAGAGAAGCCCGGGACCCGGTTTCAGAAGACCTGGGTTCAAGTTTGGATCTGTCACCCCAGCCAAGTGCCCTAACCTCCAAGTAACAATTTCCTCAGCTGTACAACGGAAGCAAAGTCAACTTTAGAGTTACTGTAGACATCAACATATGAAACTGGCTGTGAAAAACAGCTCCACAAAAAGTATTACCGTTTTTACGTTCTTTTCCAGCCAACTTTAACATTAACCCTGATTTACATATTTTGAGGAGCGGATCTTCTGTACGAACAGCACAGTATTCAGAAGAAAAAAAAAACTGCCTTCATGTCATCACTTTTTGTTCCAGTGACAGCAAGTCTACTTTGCTGGACATATTTTAGTGAAACAACTTGGTCTCTGTCGGTAAGTCCCACTACACTCTTCAAATTTCATTTTTACTATCTGACTTGAAATTCCACAAAGCACAATGGGACTATAGTATTATTAAAATTCTGTCAGGGAATAGTTAACATTCTCAAAAGCAAACCGGTGTTTGTGAACCACCTGGTAGTTTTTCATTACTTCTAAGACAAGATATGAGAGCTAGAAAAAGACAGTTAAATATATAGCTCTCAATCTGAAGACTCCGAGACAAGACAGTAGACAAGCACAATTTCTCCCGAAGTCAGACAGACAAGGGGCAGTTTGTTCAATCAGAAAGATTCTCCTCCATCTCTCTCACAATTTCTAAGGTTAGAACCAAAGGACACGGAACTTCAGAGCACTTGCAAAATCTCCTGGCCTCCAACGCACACTGTGAGAAATAATGATCCAGCCATTAACGACAAACTCTCAGGGCAATTTGCTAAGTAATCTTTCCAAAGCCTCCTTCATTCAAACCGGCTTGTCAATGGGAAAGAATATTTCATAAATCTGAAGATTTACAAGCGAACTTTGAAGTTCAACATTGCAAGAAGAGAAATTATGCCAGGTTATAACAGAACAAACGAATTATGGAGAGTTAGGAATAAATTTTAAGAGTCTTAGGGAGGATTAGTGCTGTAAAAAGAAACTCAAGACTATCTCACGTTTATGTTCCCTTCAAAGAGATTTTTAGGCAAAGGCTATCATGTGTTGGCTTGTTTCGAGCAATTACTAATATTAGCAAATACCTTGTAGTGGTCATTAATAAAAAGCAAAACATAATTAAGAGTTCTCTAAGAGCCCTGACTCACTAGACACTCTTTTTTTTTTTTTTATTTTTTTGAGGAAGATTAGCCCTGACCTAACCACTCCCAGTCCTCCTCTTTCTGCTGATGAAGACTGGCCCTGAGCTAACATCCATGCCCATCTTCCTCTACTTTATATGTGGGACGCCTACCATAGCATGGCTTGCCAGGCGGTGTCATGCCCGCACCCGGGATCCGAACCGGTGAACCCCGGGCCACTGAAGCAGAACGTGCACACTTACCCACTGCTGCACCACCAGGCCAGCCCCTCCTAGACACTCTTAAGATTCTTAGATATACATACCGGATACAGCACAAATTATTTTGCCAATAACTTGCTCCTTCAATAATAAAATATGAGTTGGTATAGAATGTGACATTTATCTATGATCTAAATCCTAAAACAGGATAATTATTTTGATGACATGTTATGATATCCAGACACTACCCCAGAAATGAAAATAATACCAGGACTACAAGAGATGAAACAGTTTGGAAGACCATAAATTCTTTTATGAGAGTCTACAACATCGCAAGAGACTATGAGAGAAAATAAATTGTATCTCAAAAGTGAATCCCAACCACAAAAAGGAAATATACTATATTTACATTGATAAAACCTGCAAGGGCTTTAAAATTGCTGATGATACCACTGAGAAAAGCTAAGCTGAACTGCAGATTACCTCAAAGCACGTTGTTTTGATGTGCTGTGCAGGTTATCATTAGAGTTTGCAGACAAGCTCTTTTAAGACGTTATAGCCACTGCTCCAACTAAAATATAAGCATTGAGCAGAGTAGCAGGAGAAAAGGAAAAACCTAGCCAATTTTGCAAACTGAGAGTACCACTGACAGAATAGTAAGGAATGTGGAAAGGGCAGGTGAATTTTAACCTAAACAGTTCAAATTTTAGCTTAGAAGAGGAAGGCCTGGTGGAATTCCTCAACCAGCCCGTGGAAGTGAAATAGCAGCCAGGTCAGGTCGGATTCATATTCAGTGTTATTTGGCAGCCAGATGTTCAAATTTGCATGGATACATTCTGTTCATTGACTATTGCCGAGCAACTATTACATACAAGGTATAGCGAGGCACTGCAATGGATACAAAGATGGGGAAAACAAAAGCAATTCCTCTCCTCAAGAAGCCTGCGATCCAGTAAAAGGGATGAAAGAAACATATTCTGCCTGGAAATAGAACGGGAGCCTCAATGGAGGTTCAAAGTGATGTGCAGGTTCACAGCTGGAGAAGATGTGGAGTTACATCCCTATTTTGTTTCAACACGATACAGATAGATACTATATTATTCTAAAACTGGTGATGCTCCTGAAAGGAGCATGAAAATGCCAACAGATTGGTAACATTTCACAAATAAAGAGTGATGCCAAAATCTCAAATAAGAAAAAAGAAATGATGACCAGCTCTTTGGCACAAAACCTGTTCCTCAATGCGCCACTGAATACTACAATTTCCTAAAGCTGAACTTAAAGGCATGTGACAGCTGCTGATTGGTTATTGGAATCCACACAAAAAAATGCACCCCTCGGGGTGCATGACAAGCATCTTGTCTGTAGAACATGGCATGAAGGAAACAGTGGCTGCGAAAGGAGGAAAAAGCAAAGAAAATGTACATGACAGCATTCTGAACAGTACAGTGTGGAGCTAGTCAAATGCAAGACCTGTTATTAAAGCAGACTTTGGGTCTAGCATCCACGCCTCCCAAATTTAATTGTTCCTGCACTGAACACGCCATCCATAAACTATCAATACTTTGCTGTCTTAAAGGCATTTCAACACCAAAAGAGGATGTAAAGTAACCTAGTTCTTTAAAAAAAAGGTAATATGAAAGATACTTTTTTGGTGAATATTTCAGTAAATATTAGATGAACCGTACCCAACTAGATCCTCTCGCCGCACCTCGCCCCCCTCCCCAAAATCCCTAACCAGTTGGAAGGTATTGTGGAATTCCACATCCTTATCTTTTAATATGAAAACCCTGGTCTATCGACCTCTCCTTCATAACACCATCATGTATAGTTTTTCTTTGCTATTCTAACTCAATAGAAAGGTTTGACTACCTAAACCAATCAGCCTGATTATGATCCGAGTAGAAAAAAAAAAAAAAAAAAACCCACAAGGGTAAGCAAACACCCAGAGAAAGAACTGGACGAACAGGATGGACATGTACTTCATAAAACATAAATGTCCTCCATTCATCAGCAATTCTAGTCATTTTCTCTCGAACAGATCTCAGATTTTCAGAACAAGTATGCAGGTTATTTAAAACTGAGTTATATATAGTCATTTAGCAGCAGCAAAACACTTCTGGCATTATCACAGATGCTAGATCTTTGGAGGAATTTTTTTTTTTTTCCAAACTAGGATCTTTCTTCACCAAGAACTGGCCAGCCTTTATTTGTAAAAACAAGAGCTCTTGTCTCCCCCCAAAACAAACAAATCAAGGCCCACAGTTAAATTCTACGCTAATGAAACTGTGAGATTACATGCCAGGCGTTGTCAGAGCCGATTTTTCATACCCCACCACCAGACAGTTTGATGCAGTATTCCTGATTGCTTTTTATCGTATTTGTAAATACACTCACTAATCCACTAAATTAGGTAATTTACAAACAGGTCCTCTCAGTTATTAGCGGCCAGCAGTCAAGTCCTATTACATTTGATCCTTATACAGTTGTCTAAACATTTCCATCCAGGTTAAGGGCTCGGATTGGCAAGGGAGAGGGAGGTTAGCGAAATTTGGATGGGGGCAGGGTAGAAGCTGGGAGAAATCTCCGCATCTCAGCAGCCCTCAGCGACAACAGTCAGCCAGTGCCCACAGAAAAACTAAATTCGGCACCTCTTCCTCCTGTTACACTGGCAACAAAGAGGGAGTTTCCGTAACGCTCCCGTCACCCACCAGGTGCC